CCGTTTTACTAAGTGCGCAGAAATTTTAGTAATGTGAATAGCTATCTGTGTAGTGGTTGTCAGCTGTGAAAGTAAAGCGGCGAAGTTCAATCAGCAGACAACGACTTACTTCATTCGATGAGTTTACAATGGACATCAAGTGATATTGTATTATACCTGTATGCAATCGGATGAAATCTGCTTGTTTTATTGTTGTCGACCTGGTGTTTGATTAAAGTACCTTTAAACTGACAGCCATTTTCTTATCCTACTATAGGTTAACTGGAGTATGCAGGATAGATCATAGTCAGATTCATTACAATCCGGAATACAAGATTCATCGACTATGTAAAGAAAAGTGTTATGAAGAAATCCATTTCATTTTTCATTAAACATTAGACAAAGCCAGTAACGTGGTGGTCTTTTATTCTATTAAATCAGCGACACATGTTTTAAAAATGTATGGCCGTCAGCCTAGTTTGTCAACTTAGACTGTGGTTAATGGTTTATTTCGCATATCTATAGTTTAGACGAATATCAGCTTCACATTGATTACTATTTGTTGCGAAGTATAATACTAGGTCAACAAATACAGGGTACCAACTACCTCACGGTTTGCGGATGTTGACACTATTCAGTGGGTGAGTCGGTTGAAATAGACATCTATTCTGGGGCTACTAATAAACGTGGAATAGTTGAAATACGCTATGATTTTTGCCTGGTTGCAATTGCCTTAAGCAAGTGATTATGCCAATTTAGTTTTAACACTGAGCTTGAGCGTGATTGGATACGAATATACTTGCGCAGGCTCATTCACTTAGATCACCCACTCACATGATAACTTTGGCGATTCGGCCATACCCTGCAACGGTATACGACAGTTTGGTGCTTATTGTTCTTATATACTTCAAGAGATCTTATTCATATGGATATACAACAACGTCACATAGCAACAATGCACCACGGTTTATAAAAATGAAACAACCGATTTCAACTCCAAAATATTAGATAATGCACAACAATTGATTTCATTCAATAGGTAGTTATTTCTGACCTATTTGTTGTGTACTGCTGAAGGTTTAGAAGGAAGGAAAGGTACCTCTCAATCGATTGAAAGAAAGGCTACCTTATCAAACTCCCAAGGAAGGGTGACCTAAGTCTTTGCAAGAATTGGCGCGGTACCATGCTCTAACCCTGTCCACCCTAAGAAAAATATTAAGCTGCATTGTCTTGGAGAGACTAAAGAATGCTCTGGATTCAAAGTTGCGACCGGAACAGGTTGGTTGGTTTCACAAAAAACAAATCATGTACGGATCGAATTGCAACGCTACGCTACGCATCATCATAGAACAGAGCATAGGATGGTAGTCCACTGTACCTATACCACAACTTCATCGATTTTGAAAAGGCCTTTGACAGCGTCGACCGAGTAGTAATTTGGCAGCTGCTTCAATACCACGGAGTACCACAAACCTTCACCGACCCCATTCATCAGCTATATGACGACGCCACCTGCAAGGCGATCCACAGTGGAAAGCTCAGTGACGCCTTTGAAGTGAAGATAGGTTGACAGGTAAGACTAGGTTACCGCCTGTCATCACTGATGGTCTTTCTGACTGTGAGCTGTGAGAAGATGGCCATACGCTGGCTGTTTGACCGATTAAAAGACCCTAGAAGATTTGGATTTCGCCGATGATGGTTGATGTCCAATGTCGTACAAACTCGAAGATCTACAGGCAAAAACTAACAAGTTAGCAGAAGAGGCGAGGCGAGGCAGAGAATGAAGACGGGACTTTCTTAAGGTGAACGTGGGGAAGACAGAGGTGATGAAGATACCCAATCGGCAACAATAACAAGCATTAATCAGCATGAAGGAGAGAAACCAAAAGGATATAGGTTCTTTCACCTACCTAGGCAGCATCGTTTCAACTACAGGCAGCATCACACGTACAGATGCGAATGACAAAAACAGGATCGGAAAGACATCCAGACAGGCCCTCATGCGTCTGAAGTCAGTGTGGAGATCTACTGCACTGCACTGCACTCAGCATAAAGAACAAGATCCAGATTTTAAACGCTAATTCAGTCAAGTCAGTGCTTCTATATGATTTGGAGACTTGGCATGTCACGAAAAGCATTTCCAACAAACTACAGGTATGCGTCAACACCTGCCATCTACGCTCACTTGATACTGAAGATGAGATGGCCAGAAAGATATAGCGACAAGGAACCCCTGATGACAATGAACCAACCAACAAATATGCAGAAGAGAGTGGAGATGGACTGGATAGTAAATACATACAGACGACCATTTTGGATATCACGCGCGAAGGAGGAGATGGTATGAGGAAGAAATGAAAGCTTCTGGAAAGTCGTGGAGCCAGGTTGAAAAGACTGCAGAGAAGAGAGTGAAATAATGACGTGCTACTGAATCTCTGTATTCCACCAGAAACCCAAGGGGAAAATAATAATAAATATTTGTCGTATGTGAATGGATGAGGGAAGGGGTCGGATCGAAAGCTGTTGGACAAAGTAAGCTATCGAAGAATGTTGCCAATCAGATCATAAGTTAAACGACTTTGAAGATCATTAAAATAATATGACCAATTGCGCTTATCTGAAATTCGTGTTTTTCGCTTCTCGACTGATATAACAAAATGAAATACGCGTATAAAGTTTTCATGGCTTTTGATAGAAACTTATGTTGAGAGACGCTTTGACTGAGGTGAAATGCTGTCGAATTGGCAATAGCAGGTGTGTATACCGTCACGCAGAATTACTCTGATTTCTTAGCAAGTGGTTTTAAATTGACAAGAATGTAGTAACAGGATTTTCGATGTTATCGAGTACAAAATAAAACACTTTCCATAAATGCTATTTTGGTACAATGTGTGAATAAAAGTTGGTTGAAGGTTTCTGATCATACTCGCATTACTGGTGTGTGATGAACCAGGAAGTGGGTAATGTTCATATTAGACTCAGAGTACTAATCATAGGAAGCAAGTCAATCCGTGGAGTTGTGAACTTTCAGTGAATAATGCGGTTTGAATAAGTGTTTTGCATGGCTGGCAACCATATACATCAATGTTCGATGGTGCGTGAAAAAGATTTGTTTTGGAAGAAGGTTAAAGCTTGTCTGACCAGGATGTGGTGTTAGTTCGTGCCTATGCTGTGTTGAAGAGGTGTTAGGAAGTGATGATTGGAAACTCCTAATGGTGTGGCTTGAAATCAGTCACAATGGTTCAGATGTATACATTCCTTGATTTCCTCTCTCTCCACTCATACACTTTTGTGTACTTTGATATCAATCTTTTTCTGTCTACTTGTTCTTTCCACGCTACTCAGAAATCTGACAACTTGAAGACATCCACTTCGTTGCAAGGCATAGCATTGATTTCGTCTGTTTGTCTATCTGACAGGCTTATTTTTCACCCAACTGGTATTCCTTATAAATATGATACAACTTAGCGGTAACCACAAATCAGATAAATAATAATTTTAAGATGTTCCACAGGATAACTTGTTGCAATGTGCTTCAAAATGACGGTGATCAGAGTAGTTTAATTTTATTGTTTCATCTCAAGTTCAACTTCAAGAGACATAAAAAGCGAACTTCACCAGTTTTGCAAAACTGTGCAAATATGTCGGTTTTAATCGGATAACATCTGACTGGATAATAAGTTTAGTGTTATTCTTCGATGTGTTCCATTTCATGGGTTTTCTTCTGTGATGCTGGCGTAAATTATAATGAACTGGTCTAAAATCTTGTGTTGTTTAAGTTGATATTCTTGAAAATTTTACTCTTTGGTCAGTCCAGAACATTCACTCATGTTAGATAACTTTATGGATCTGGTCCAATCGTATGGAGAGTCATTCACTTTCAATACTAGCCTAACCGCATAGTTTCTGACATTACGTCTAAGTGAAATGGCTTCAAGTTTTCCAGTGCACTTGATTTTCCTGAAGGTAGTCAACCAATGTGTACCAAGAAGTGCGAAACGCAAATTAAGGAGAGACTGCTAGCATTTCGCTTTAAATACATAAGATCGTAGAAAGTCCGTCAGATAATAGTGAGTATCACTTCCCTATACTAAGCGGTAATGCAACCGCAACCCGTTTCACTACTTGTCTGATAAGCGTCGACTGTCACTGAGTGAAGAAATTCAACTTCGTCTAACATTTACAAAAGAAAACCGTTATTCAATCGGGTACAAATTAGAGAAAACGTCCTCAGCGAGATACTAGTTTACAAACTAAACAGATCATTTCAGTGATAATTTACAAACTTCGCTTTCCACGAGCCCAGTGGTGACACCGAAACTGAAAGATGAATTACCTAGACTGGCCACTTCTTGTTGCCTTTATCAGTTTGACTGTTCTTGATGAGCCAGTTTCGTCGGCCACTGCTGTAGGAATTTAATTTTCCGTTCTCGTGAACACCTTTCAGAGTGTTTAAGGTGTGGCAAAGACCATTATCAGCTCTATATCAGCACATCTAGTCGAACAAAGCATGAATTAGATTTGAATGAGTCATTTTCCACTATGTCCCGGATTCCCGTCAACTTGCCAAAAGGTACTCCGTTTGGGATCCTTCAAATTGCGGAAGCAGTAACAATCAGAATCAAACAACCTAAGACGGTGTTCAGAAGAAGCAAATTTTACCTTTATAAGTATCGTAGCCCAATTCGGGATGAAGAACCTCTTTAGCATCCTGCCCTAGACAATCTAATTTCATACTGTAGATACCCCTTTTTCTCTATAGTATGAAACAATTTTAACACATTCTGTTAACCTGTTTTGTCCTATTTAGTTTGTTTCACCCAATTATCGTAAACTTCTTCCTATTCTTTTATTATAATATAAATTTATTGTATCATATAAGCCGTATGATCATTTAGATAATCAAATATTTCGAACGAAATCCCAGTAACAATTGATTTCATCAAAAACCGTTCACACACGACTTTTCTCAGTTGACTTCTTTAACTGTATCATAAATATTATTAAAAAAACTGATAGGCGGAATCTCTATTTTGCTGCGTTATTATTCCTCATTATTTACACATAGTTGTAGAACATGAAGAAGAAGCAGAAGTTATGGAAAAGTATGTTCTTTGTTCACTTAAATGGCTTTTAAGAATATTTAATGATGACATAACTTGAGATAAAACTCTGCTTACTGTCGAACAAGGTGTTCTTTTCATCTCTGATACTTTTATTTTCATCGTATGAAAAAAAAAGAATGTATCCCTGTTCATTTTATATTGGAACTCAGTAAATTATAATTGAATTTTCCTGTCACCCACTGAACACATTACACATTTATAAAGCTTACGAAATATTGTTGAGAGAAACGTTAACTACTTACAAGTAGTTAGAATAGCAACTGGAAATGTTTCGGTTGAAAGTATGTCATTATTTGGATATAACAGGATGAGATGCTTAACTTGAAATCAACCGTGATTTCGGCATTATTTATTAGTAGTACCTTTAACTAAGTATAAAAAGTATGAAAATATTTCAGCTTTTGTTATAAATTTGTGAAAATTAACGCCTAAATCTTGTTGATTTGACGACCAATAACATAAAGAGGAGGATTATTTGAGCAAGAAATCAAGTGGAATGAACTTCAAGTGAGTAGAGCAGGTACATGAATGTACAAAATCATTGGGGGAAAAATTCAGTTTCAATTGAATGACAGTAAATATATGTGTGTCAATATATGCTGAGAAATAGTGAATAATATTCAATAAATCAATAAATTGGAATTAACTTTAGTTGTACTTGATCCTTATTTTTTACAACAACAACAGAGACAATCTGCTAAACACCCACAACATCCATAACAGCATAAACAGATAAAGAGAAGGATTACTGCTATTGTGATAGCGCACAATGTCACTGTTAGTGGCCACCAGCTGAAAAAACAAGCAGAGAAACAAAATTGTACAGACATTTGGTTGGTATTTAATGTGATGTGGGTTGCTTTTTACGAGGATCATAACCGGTTTACTGCGTGCATTGTTGAACTAAATGATTTGACGTGGCCAGTAGGAAGCTATGCTTCACCTCGGTAGGTTTTGTGACTGCTGGCACTCTTCAGTACTGCATGTCTGCAACTTCGAGGGGACTGATGGGCTTTGACCCACGTCACCCAGTGACGCTACCACAGACTTGTTCAGATGGCGAGTAACCACCAGTGGAACTGGATTAGATACACTAGTTGGTCCTTAGACAGCTAGTAATTTTTTGTTGCTAAGTTTTCTGCGCTAATCAAATCCTATCGGCTATTTTGTAATATAGTCACCAGGCTAGGAGACTAACCATTGCGGAACACTTTGATGGGTGTTACTTGGTTGAACGCAATAGGTAGGAAGACCAGTTTGATCTAGGTTTCGGGTTTGTTGGGACCAGTCACCCTTTTAGGAAGTGACATCATTCAAGGGATTCGATCCCGCATCATTGAACGCTTTGGTTTATTTTCCTACAGGGAACAGGTAAGTGTATCAGTCAGATTATGTGGAGATACGAGGACGGCATTCAGTTTTTGCTGCATGAATTTCTTCACAGATATTGAAGAGTTCTCATTTTGATTCTTAATAATCAGGCTCTTTAGAATGGCGGGCTCATGTACTATGAGTTAGCCGCAATTCGATGTATAAAATATCATGAAATCTACTTTTAATGTGAATGTAAAGACGACTAACAGATGGCTAAGAAACTTCTAAGATTTCAAATCTTCACCCACGTACAGCGACGATTCTGGTGAACATGAGGTTACATGATTCGATATGACACATAGGTGAACTAAAACTTAGGTAGTATTCTGAGTCTCATTTAGTTCACTTGACAGTATTCTTTATGCGGTTTAGTACAGAAGGTTTGCAGTAGTCGGTAAATTCGTCTTCAGGGTTCCAGTTGGTATTGATTGGATTATGGACATGCGATTGTGGTACCTAGTGTCTGAAATGATAGATTTGAGGAGCAAACAAAACTTCGAGTTACGACCTCCATGCTGGAGTCTTCACTGTTATGCCTAATACCAATAATGCTGATTTTGTATTCAATTGGCAAGAGACGTATGTAAAGTTCTTTGTGAAATGTAGGTAGATCATATGATGACGTTATAAAATGTTTATCCTCTGTCGTCTCCCATTCATTGATATTTTCAATGTAAGTGTGAATGGGGTTTACAGTTGCGGTTCAACTCCCTTATTAGGAAAAGAGCCTGTCTACCACTGCTGTCTCCATAGGATTTCTCGGATTTAGTTGTTACACAGATTAACGAATGTTGAATTTCAAGAGATTTTGTTAGAGAACAATGTAAATCGTTACTTGACTTATCTTACATTATCACTCTAGGGAAAATGGACTTTTTTTATCAGAAGAATCATTTTACAGGTTTCAGTACCGAGTGTAAGTTCCATAGTTTTGAGAGTAGTCCTTCCAATGGAGAATACATGTGTTGAACTAGACGAGTATCAAACAACGGGCTTTGTTTCCTTGTTTGCTCTAACAGGTTCCACTATACTTAAGGCCTCCGTCATATGGTTGCTGTGGCTTCTGAGGACAAGATTATTTTTTTCAAAATGTCTCCAAGCCAAAATTATGGCAAGATGAAACTCGCTTTCCATGATGGGAAACGTCTTCGACATAGACTACCGTAAGCCGATCCTCCAAAACAGGCTCTAATATCATGGATGACCGGAAGGCTGCCAGAAAGTCCATAAAACACTGGACAAAAAGTGAAGAAGAGTCCGTGCAAAGACAAAAGACACTTCCATGATACACTAGCAAGTGCAACAGAACAGACTGCCGGCGGGTAGGAGAGATCTGACAACATTGTATCTAATACCAAAGTTACTATCTAGGAAGAGATCAACGCAGATGAATCCAATAAAAGACGATGAATGGAATCTAATTGGTGAAGAAGAGGAAGAAAGGAAACGATAGGCTGACCACTTCGAAAAGCTCTTCAATCGACCATCACATACATGCACTTCGTCCAGAAATACCACCTGCAACCCAGCCACACAACTACCAGTGAACACAAGCTATCCAGCGAAAGTCGAAGTCCTGAACGCCATGCCGCGTGACGCCACTCGATAAAGTTGCTGAAATGCGGGAGAGCATCAGGACCAGATGGAATGCCTCCACATGCACTGAGAACAGATATAGGGACAACAGCGGACATGCTCACACCACACCACACCACACCACACCAGTATCGCAGAAGGTTTGGAAGGAAGGAAGGAAAGGTAGATGTTAAATGATTGGAAGAAGGGCTACCTTGTCAAACTCCCGAAGAAGGGTGACCTCAGTGTTTGCAAGAACTGACCAGGAATCATGTTCCACTACCGTCCACCCAAAGTGAGCAAAATATTAAGCCGCATCATCCTGCAGAGAATAAAGGTTGCACTGGATTCAAGAAGTAAAAATCATATACGGACCAAATTGAAACTCTTCGCGTCATCATAGAACAGAGTATAGAATGGCAGTCAACTCGACTCAACCTCAACTTCATCCACTTTGAGGAGGCCTTTGACAGCATCGACCGAGACGTAATTTGGCAACTGCTTCAATACTGCAGAATACCACAAACCTCTATCAATCTCATTCATCAACTTTATGAAGACGCCACATGCCGGCCAAGTAATTCACAACGGGAAGCTCAGTGATGCCTTCGAAGTGAAGACAGTAGTAAAACAAGGCTGCCGCCTACTATCACCCATGATCTTCCTGATTGTGGTCGACTCGACTGGATCATGCAGCAAACAGTGAGGAGCGAGAAGAGGGGGATATGCTGGACCGGGAAAAGATGCTGAAAGATTTGGATTCTGCCTATGATTTGTGTCTAATGTCAAACAAACCTGAAGATCTACAGGCGAAAAGTGACAAGTTGACAGAAGAGGCAGGGAGGGCAGCGAAGACGGGGCTTCACGTGAACGTATAGAAGACGGCGGTGATGAAGATGCCCAACAAACCAACCAACTACAACAACAACAACAACAACAAGCTGCAATCACCATCAACTGGAGAAACTTGAAGGAAGTGGCCTCTTTCACTACAACTACTTAGGCAGCACTGTTTCAACTACAGGCGGAACAGGCACAGACGAGGACGTCAAAGCCAGCCAGGATCAGAAAGACACCAAGACAGGCGTTCATTAACCTGAGACCAATGTGGAGATCTTCTGCACTCAGCACAAAGCATGAACAAGATCGGGATTTTGAACACCAATTCAGTCAAGTCAGTGCTTCTATATGGTTGAGAAACTTGCACGTTACGAAAGGGATTTCCAACAAACTGCAAACATTCATCAACAAATGCCTACGCTCGTTACTGAAGATCAGATCAGATGACCAGAACAATGAGAATAAGCAAAGGGGAACTCTGTCAACGAACCAACCAAGAACTTATCAGTCAACAAATATGCAGAATGAAGTGTAGATGGATTGGAGATACAGTGAGAAGATCGACTGAGGACATCACGCTCCAGGCTAGGTCGTCGAGGGGGACCCGGATGGGAAATGGCTAGTTGGGCGTCTGAGGCGATGGTGACATGGAGAGGAGAGTGGAATGGAGACGTGCTAATGAAGCCCTATGTTCTACTAGGAACCCAAGGGACAAATAATACATAATAATTTTGGTTCATTTGAGAAAGCATACAGTTACACAACGTTATTTATTGAACGACGTTACGAACACAATCTATTTTTCATAATCCTTAGGATATAATATTAGGGAATCGCACTCTAACAAGGTGTCCATTTTCTACGTTTACATCAAGATCATTTGAGAATTAAGGGTAACTGAATTTCTTTTCGGGTTTAGGTCAAAGAACTTCTGACTTCTCTTATTTGCTTTCAGCTTGCGAAATCTCATTTAAGTTCACTTGTGACAAAAATAGATTTAAAATCCACAGGTCTTAAATCAAGTGACCAACTAGCTGACCATACTGAAAAATACTGTGTTAGGTGCAAATGGTGGAACTTCTTGTTGAAATCTCACACTGCACTTCTTCTTTACCACAGCTTAACAGTCTTGAGTAATAGAAAATGATTGATAAATAACTGTCGACCTAAGGATATCTGCCATACTATTCGAGATTATGAACATAGGTCACTGTCGGATATTAGTGTACGACGCAATGTGATTGGTTGACGGTCAGCCAATCAGTGGTAGGCCTGTTCAGAAGCATATCTGCTAACCCGTCAGGTGTATGGTTCCAGTGAAACATCTTTCTAAATACACGTCAGTGATAGGATGGGTATAACAATTATGCTTCTTCAGACAAATGAAACGAGGAAATTTTTTCTTTGGATGTTTTAAATAAATGAAGGAAATTGTTTCAAATATGATAAACAACTGAAATATAACTCAAGTTTACCGGAATTCTTTACAGCATGCTTGAATACCAGAGGAATCTTTACAACAATAAGTTGAATGTAAGAAGGTGTCACCAACATCACATTGTTCACCATCTGAAAATTATTGACATATTAACATGAATATGGATTGTTTTAGCTAATTATCTGAACTAGCTAAAAATATACTACTGAAAATATATAAGTAGTCAGAAACCACTGACATGAATATGAGGCATAAATTGTACTCGAAACGTCATCCGGAAAGAAAAAGGTATCACCGTATGTTATGTCAGATGAACAAATCTAATAGGGATTTAAATCCTACCCCATCGCCCATATTTTACACTCATGTGTCCACTGAGAACCCAACTAGACTGCGGACAGCTAAATGGTAACTCGAGGTCAGTTTAACTGTACTTTGAAGTGTTCCGCCCATCGTTACAATCACCATCCCTTGAAGTGAATGGCAAACCCACACTTTCCTACTATACTGTCACTGATCATTCACCATTTCACGTTGTTTTCCTTGATCAGTCCGAAAAAATGTATACCGTTACCCATTGTCGTGGCCTTTTTCATCACCTTAATCCTTGTTGCCACCCCGTGTCCCGCGAATTCTCATAGTCGTTGTGTAGACGTCGTGTCAGTCTAAAATTGAGTTGCTCCCACTTCTCATTACTCTCAAAAATCGCAGGAATGCGTCTTCTTGAGTTCAGTCAGTTCATGTGTAAGCGGTGGTTTCAAAGAGGCAATGATAAACCTCAACACTTTATTATGTCCTCAGCACACAGGTGACTGTCAGCTGGGGTGCAGTCGAGCAGAACATTTTCTTGCTTAGTACTCAATGCTGTACATATGCCTGGAACACCACAAGTGTAAAGTAACATAAACGCTTAAGCTAAGAACTCAAGCTGTTTCATCACACAACAAACAACAGTATAAAAGCGATTACAGAAATTAGTCGATCAAAGAGTCATTCCTGTCTCAAGTAACAAAACAATGTAGCTTTAAGCTGATTTGTCTGAAATGTAAACGATTTACCTCAGTGATTAGCCCTGATGAGCACAAAATCTAAACTTCAGATTCCTTTCTGATAAACTTTAACCTCCAGAACCTAGAACGCAAGATATTGTTGTGTATAGGAGTAAAACAACTGAAAATTATACCTTATCTTCAAAACAGCACTTAAAGTCCAGGTTGGAAAATATATTCGCCAGTTATTTGAAGTGAGATGAGCTCAAATGCAATTCATGAGTACGAGTTGGCATCTTTTCAGTGCTTATACCACTACTACCATTAAGAAATAAAAGAACATGGACTGGAAATATTTGAACCACTTACTTAAAAATCAGAGTGATTTTGTAACGAATTCAGGTAATAATCCAGCGAAATAATCCTGACATGCAATTGATTAAATTTACAATAAGTTACACTGATATCCTATTCTAGTTCTTGGGAAAGAAGTGGATGATTTGACAGAGTTTTTGTCTAGTGATCACCTGAATGATGGCGCTATCATCAGTGACCATCGGTTATCCGAGTTCGTTAGTGTTATCACCGATAGTGACTGGTCAGCAGCGCTTTTCGAATTGACAAAAAACATATACAGTCTGGTTTTCTCAAAAGTGACCTCATTATTGGATTATTTTCACATGGATTTTGTTATGGACATTAGCAAGCTTGGAGATCAGGGATTAGTCATTAAAAAAGGTGGAATCATCAAATCTTAAGCAGTATATGTTATCATGCAGAGATAGTGTAATAGTTTCTATGTCTTTCGACATGCCACACCAAAGTTCAAGAAAATTGTTAGTTAACTTTTGAAAGAAATGAAAATTAAAAGAAAACTGCCAGAGAATTATTTCCTTACAAACAAGAGCTACCAAAATCCTGATAATTAACGAAGTTGGCATACATTTTAAGTGTCCAATTTTAGCTACTCATGAGTAGTTAAAATTGGTTATAAAAATTACCGAGGTCCATGACACAGTCCAGGTGATTTGTTTGATTCCTGGAATTTGAACAGGAATACTTAAAAACACCTGTGAAATATAGCCATCAAACTGCGAGATTAGTCATCTTGGTCAACTCTGTTGGGTATCAGTTTGGCTGAAGGAGTTCGAAAGCTAGCCAGTCCCGCTTGATTTAGTCTTCATGCTTGTCGGCACCCGTCAGCAAGGGGTATCTGTAACAATTACACTGATTGCCACTAACCAAACTAACATAGTCAGATAGTAACTGGCTCACAGAATAATTCAAGAGTTATACTCCACTCACACTAGTGCAGTGAATAACATGGGTTCGAATCTGGGACTGTAAGCCATTTGCTTTCAAGACTTACAAAAACCGAAGTCCAAGTTCACGCCTTCTTGTTCACCTAACCCTGAATCTTATACATTTAGACGTAATATGCTGTGACATGAATTTTATTGAAAATATTCTACAACTTTCAGTCAGATATTGAATTTCTATTTAAGTGATTACCATAACCCACATATCAACCAAAAGTACAACTGAATCTACCTGTAAAAAGTGCTTCAAAGCTTTTTCTTATCTAACTTATATGAAAAATTATGCTTTTAATAGACCTCTATAAAAATTTTGGTAATGCGGGTTATTATTGTTATTATTATTGTTCAATATGATCATTTTTATTTCATTCCGTAGTTTTCGCTGACGGCTTAACGCCCCTAAATAAAACCCGCGGTATTCTACGCATTCCATGTGATAAAACACTTAAGAAAGACAAGTGAAACTCATGTGAGGCAGCCATTAGGTTATCAGAGCAGATGATGATAGGGGAATTTCTTCAATCACCTGACAAAACGCTAAATCCAATACGCAGGTTTGTTCAAATACTTCAGGTTAGCATTCATCATAAATTGACATCAGTTGGAGGACCATTAAAGACCTAAGATCCCTGGACAGCTGTCTCGCTCTAACCTAGAACTCTTCAGAAGTGTGCATCAGTGGCCTCACCATGGGCCAAACCCAGAGGATTAGGATCCTGAGGTAAGTACGTTACCGCCGAAACCACTGGGTTGGGTGCAATAAATGTTGTCACATTCTTAGACAACTCTGATAAAAAAGGAGTTAAGAGGAAGTTTCTATTTTAGGATGAAATGGTTATTTACAGACCATGTTACTCAACTGCTTAGATAAGCAGCACGTAAAGTTCTGGAGGACAACTTAATCAAACATGTGAAGTCGTTTAAACCAGAAGAAAATCAAACAAATGACCGAGAACACCAGGCGATACTCATCCTGAATGAAGAGCTAAGTGAGTTTGGAAGACATTTCACTTCGTATTTATATGAACTAACCGAACTAAATGAAGCTTAGTGGCTCAAATATCAGTCGTACCTCTGTTTTGTAGAAGTGAGATTGATTTCAAGAAGTTTCTCATCCCAGATCGGTATCAGCCGCGGAAATATTGAAAATGCGAAGCGCACTGAATCAGTTATTGACTGATGACATACTTTTCACTTCTGAGGAGTGAACTAACCAATATACAATGGTTACTCATTGGTTTATAGTTTAAAAAGTTTGGGCCACAACTCCATTGGGTTACTCTCGACAATTCATGCTAATAGTAATAAAGATAGGAACAGTAATTGCCGTATATCGAAAAAAGAATTCAGTCGTTCCACTCTCCACATCAATATTATGCTTGTATGTTATGTTAAGTTGCTGCATCATCCATCAGCACATAAAGACACGAGACAACAGGATGAAAGATAAAATGGTGGAAATAATATGATCATAAAACAAAAAGAAAGGGGTCCAACTTAAATGGTGAAACATGGAACAACGTGCAGGATGAAAACATAAAGTGGATGTGTGTGCACTAGCAATATGAATTCTGAGATCAGTTGAGATCAAAGTTCTAGGCCAAACCTTGTCGAATATGAATGCCACTTTCTAAAAACTTGGTTGATCGGTCCCCTCGCCGAACAGGAAACATGCGTGTACAGTATCAACATGGAAACGAACACTCCTGTCAGAGCCTTGAGTTAGTTTCCCCCCCCCCACAATGGCCAATGTTGTCACAGAAGCCTCCCAACTCTCAGATTTCTAGGCATCTACATTTGTAGGGTAGTTGATTCGTTGATCGTACCCACCAACACACTGTGAGGAGACGTGCGTGGGACGCGTCTCAATGAAGTCTCCACAACCTTGCAAACTGAATGGAGATTAAGTTCCCGGAAGGATATTCCCCTAGGAGACCTGGCCCATAAACCCATGATTCCGACAAGTACATAGCGGTGGTTCGTTTTATGTTACATGAGTGCGGCCAATGGTAGGGCCTGTCACACCAAAATTCTGGCCGGATATTGCTTTCCTGAGGTTGCTTCAGCAACAAATCATTAGCAAAACTAAGAATCTGGATTGATCTTAGCTTCCGGTTGGACTACTCCCGGCGCACTGAACGACATACTCACCGCTAGACCCTCATCACTGATCTTATGCATATAGATCTCTTCAGCCATGATTATTTCCAAGTCAGCTTGATAGTGTATTGGTTAATATTCGGTGGGGATCACATGGGGGTTAACCGTCATGACGTAACAAGGCTGTAACCGAAATTCTCATTGGACAAACCATATCTAGTTTTCACCAGCTATCAACGCTAGAGACCTTTAGGAGCGCCGTGAAGGCATTTTTTACGTTGACGTTTTACCATCTATCTATGGAGTCGATCTATTCCCCTCTTAAGAAATTCAAAGATCTAATGAACTGATGTCACGTTCCATTTCAACCAATTTACATAAACTAACATAGCATACTGAAGTAGGTAGTATGTATGATACATATCCCAGCCATGTAAGTCAATGAAGACATACAACCAATCCTAAATTCCCTAGGATGATGGTTCGAGAACACGCAGCCTATGCCATGAAAGCAATGATAGTCGAATATTTGAAGCCCCCCAGTATAAAAGGGATTAATTGCACACCTCAATGATAAGTATCTCAACCACTTGGTCCTGTCTGTATTCACATGAAATAGTGTCTTCTACAAACTAGTTCAAAAGAGGGGGAGTGTTATCTCACCTTTCCCTGCCTTCCTCCTAAATACAGTTCGTGTGTTGACACAGTCCTGTGCAAGCGTAT